AAAAAAAAAAAGAAAACTGATAAATGTATTAAACACTAGGACTTTTTGCATATACTATTTTTTAAAACAGAAGACTAAAACAAGTCACTTACTCAGTCAATATCACACAGTCATGAGGTTCGAATTACACAGCATCTGAAGGTGAAGATGCTTCCAATAAACACCCTTGAGCCAGCTATTTACCCAGCTAACTTTTTCCTCCAAACTCTGGGTCTGCTCAGACAGGGGTGACCTCAGCCTGGACTCGGAATCACTTTTATAGGAGCCTCTCTCATCCCAGGGAACAGTACTGCAGAAATGCTAGTCACAACCTTTGCTGATTAAGTGTATAAAAGGCCCAGGAGCATCCCCATCTCAGGGGGCAAAGGAGAGACCACTGTGCCTCAGAGCAGGAAGCTAATTTGTTATCACTCCTCCTGTCACTGACTTCACACTTCTCTTCAGAGAAGAGGGGGTCATAATTATTAACATCCTACCTTGTATAATGCAATGAAGATGAAGAAAAATGGAAACAGATTAGTTTCCTCTTTTTTTTGTTTTTGAGACAGAGTCTCACTTGGTCACCCTTGGTAGAGTGCCATGACATCTTAGCTCACAGCAACCTCAAACTCTTGGGTTCATGTGATTCTCTTGCCTCAGCCTCCCACGTAGCTGGGACTACAGGTGCCTGCCACAGCTCCTGGTTATTTTTTCTTTTTAAACCAATGTTTATTTTCCTCCAACTTTATTTCCATCTTGTTTAAGAGCTTACGGAAGAACAGCTTAAGACCACTCAGTAGTTGTTCCTACCCATTCAGTGGCCTGAGCAGTGGGAGGTGGAGACCAGTTTTCAGTGGTTATTTCTTTTTTTAAGAGACGGGATTTCACTCTTGCTCAGTTGGTCTTGAACTCATGAGCTCAGGCAAGCCACCCACCTCAGCCTCCCAATTGCTGGGATTACAGGCGTGAGCCACCACACTCAGCTTTCCTCTTAATGTGGGCACTGCATAGATGTTAGACATTCTTTCCAAGAACATAATGGTATTTTTGCTTCAGGGACTCAACAGTTTTATAGCTAGTTAGAAATGCTTTCTGCTCTTTTTTTCTGTTTTCAGTTTAGTATGAGGAGACTAAAGCAAACCACATCAGGCTCATGGGTAATCCAGATTCGAGGGCCAGAATCTTGTCCCCTTCCCTACCAGAATAGGGGCAGGGCTGTGAGACCTGCACTCCGGAGGCAGAGGTTCATAAGCAAAGCCACTGAATACTCCAATGTGTAGTCAGACAGGCAATCAGGGTCCTTCAGAATATCAATCAGCCAGAAGATGAGACCATCTTGAATCATCGCTGTCTGCAGCGGGCGCCTAGGACAAAATAGCCTAAGGTGAATTAAAACTGGCAAGAAACCTTTCAGGTGTTCTGAAAGGCAGGTGCCTATAGTCCCAGCTACTTGGGAGGCTGAGACAGGAAAATCGCTTGAGCTCAGGAATCTGAGGTTGCAGTGAGCTGTGATGCCACTGCACTCTAGCCTGGAGACTCTCATGCAACAGAGTAAGACTCTGTTCTAGTAGGTAGACTTTTTTTTGAGATAGAGCCTCAAGCTGTCCCCGAGTAGAGTGCTGTGGCATCACAGCTCACAGCAACCTCCAACTCCTGGGCTCAAGCAAGTCTCCTGCCTCTGCCTTCCAAGTAGCTGGGACCACAGGCGCCCGCCACAACGCCCGGCTATTTTTTGGTTGCAGCTGTCATTGTTGTTTGGCAGGCTCAGGCTGGATTTGAACCCGCCACCTTAGGTGTATGTGCCTGGCACCTTAGTCACTTGAGCCACAGGTGCTGAGCCGAGACTCTGTCTAAAAAAAAGGGAGTATATAGTAATATGAATGAATGTCAGAAATGACAAACTGTACAGGAGGTATAGACTCAGGAATATTTTATCATTAAACCTATATAACTAAAAAAACAAAAATTCTTTTCCTGGGGCCAGGCATGGTGGCTCACGCCTATAATCCTAGTACTCTGGGAGGCCGAGGCAGGTAGACTGCCTGAGCTCATAGGTTCAAGACAAGCCTGAGCCAGAGGAAGCCTCATCTCCAAAAAATAGCCGGGCACTGTGGCAGGCGCCTGTGGTCCCAGCTACTAGGGAGGCTGAAGCAAGAGAATCGCTTGAGCCCAGGAGTATGAGATTTCTGTGAGCCAAGCGTCCTCAAACTACAGCCCGCGGGCCACATGCAGCCGGCCTAGGACATTTATCCAGCCCACTGGGTGTTTTTGCCACCGCTGCCTGTCCTGCTTAGCAGCCAACTCATCCTGGGGCCCACAGTCCAGCTCTCCAACAGTCTGAGGAAAAGTGAACTGTTCCCTGTTTAAAAAGTTTGAGGACCCCTGCTGTGAGCTATGATGCCATGGCACTCTACCAAGGGTGACAAAGTGAGATTGTGTCTCCAAAAAAAAAAAAATCTTTTCCTTTTATAAGCCTAAAGGTTTACAGAAACATAAGGAAGGAGGCCTCCTACTTTGAAAACTTCCTTGTCAATATTTAAAATTAGTTTAAATATTTACTTAAATTTTTAACAGATATTTACACATAGTTAATACTCAACACAGGAAACAGGGCCATAGAAATACTTCTTTGACAAATAGATTTTTACCTATGCTCTATATAATCTAGCTTAGGCACTTTGAGATACATGAATATAAAGAAAAACAACAAAAAAAGAGCAAATACCCAGCTTGATACCCTTTGATTGAGATCACTAACATAGAGTAATGGTAGCTTAACAACCTGGGTAACGCAAATTAAGTGATTTTTCGGCTCGGCGCCTGTGGCTCAAGTGGCTAAGGCGCCAGCCACGTACACCTGAGCTGGTGGGTTCGAATCCAGCCCGCCAAACAACAATGACGGCTGCAACCAAAAAATAGCCAGGCGTTGTGGCAGGCGCCTGTAGTCTCAGCTACTTGGGAGGCG